TTGTCAGGCTGAGGAAGCACCTGCATTTGGTCTGTGTGTGTGCTGGTCCTGGATGGAAGGAATACTGAAGAAGCCAGAGGCTGGCCTGGCATGCAATGCAGGCAAGAAAGCCAGTCAATGAAAATGGAAATGGAGGCATCAGGGGGTGAGGGACAGGCTGGGGTGGGGGGAGGAAGGGGGATGTAGCAGCACAGGTGGAAGTGGAAAGGTATTTGGGGAGTCAGATGTCCGGCACTCTGCAGTGTGTGAGAGCTCCACTGTCTATATTGAGTCCATGAGTTTCTGTAGCTACTCCCTAGGAGGCTGATGAAGTGCAGCTCATAGGTCCGATTCTGAAGAGTGGTTTATAAATTCAAATAAGCACCGAACCTTGCTAACCCAACCTCATCACCAGAAGACAACTTCCTACAGCTCAAAATACAAAATCTGCCAACTATCTCCAGTACCCCCACAAACTGCATCAGAATCTATCAAAGACAACAATACCCAACTCCCTGTGGGGGCACATTCCTCACCAAAAAACCACTCTGTCTCCAGTCTCTCGGGCCTGTTTCTGAAAGGGAGTTTACAAACCACTTTTCACAGCCGGGCCTAAGAACTTCATTTCATCAGCCTCCTAGGTACAAAAACAATGTATTTCTTGCTTCATACACATGGTTTTGATCTTTCAAACCATGGTAATTAGCTATATTTTCTGTTAAACTGGAAACACAGTGACACAAATTCTGCATAGTATCTAAACTCATGCTAGGGTGCTCATGCTACAGACTCAACAACATTTGCAGCTGACAGCTACATGACAAGTCTGCCTATGACAGAGGCCACCCTTTTAGAATTTAATATTTATTCATGGAGTTAATGTTAAAGCAATTCATCCTGTCCCAGGTACATTAAGTTACTTTTTGGTATGAAAACAGCAAGCAGATGCTTTTTTAGTAGCAGCCACTGTATCTAGACTCAGAAAATATTCTAACAACAGGCCACTCGTTTATCCACTCCCACCCAAAGCAATCCCAGACATTTAACTTTCCTATTAATGAAATGCATCCACATCAAAGGAGACACATGCAGCAATGCTTTACAAAAATTCACAACAGAGAATCTGTTAGCCAAAAGAAATGGCAGAGGAAGACAGCAAAACCAGACAAGAATGATCCAACTACAAATTCAGAAAGGATAAATCTCCATTCCAGCTGCAGTCTTTCTTTTTCCCCCTTCCCCTGTAGAATTAAATCAAAAATTGTCTTAAGCAATCTGGCACTCAACAGCTAGGAGATTAATTGAGTACAGAGAGGATTTTGGCAGTCAAACTAGACCATAAAAGACACGCATTCTGCCAAGATCCAAAGTTTGTGTCTGCAATGTTTCATCACTGTGCATTTCAAACACACTTCTTCAGCTGAACATCACCTGAAACACCAGGTGAGAAAAGTACAGTTACACCATAACTTACTGCAAACAGCATAAAACAGCCTCTCTTCAGACTCAAGGTTTTAACTTGCACATAAATGAGACTTTGTGTTTATGACAAAGCATATCATTTTATAGCTTATTCAGTTCATTTGGCTTGTTACTGTACCTGAAGAGAGAGGCTTTGATTAAGATTAGGAGCCTGGGGAGTTATGTGTGGGTAGAACAGTTAAAAGACAAAGGCTGCTTGACAGGGAATATGAAGGCATATTTTAATTCAATTTAAAGCCTGAGTAGCAGGTGTAAAACACAGCACAAACTATATTGCATGTAAAATGAAGTCTTTCTTTTGTGTGAGGTAGATACGACCTTGCAAGTTTTGTTCTGTGAGACTAGCAATGTAGGCAGAATTATTTATGTCCCTGTATGCCACCAAAAACTATATCCCTCTTATTGTGGACAATGACCTAAAATATTTAGTTTCTGAGCATTGTATGGGCTATTTAACTCATACACAAGTCAGACATCTGGAGGTCTGACTCCAGACTCCTGGAGCAAGTTTTATTCTTCCAGCTCAGTCAAGGCATACGCTCAAGAGGAGGGCAAAGGAAGCACTTCAAGGACAACCTAAAGGCCAGCTTGAAAAAATACAACATCAGCTTCCACTCATGGGAGACTATCACCTAGGATTGCCCCAAATGGAGGAAGAGTCTGCTGCAAGGATCTCTGTACTTTGAAACCTTACAACAACCAGAGAAGATGGAAACACAGGAGCAGCAGAAACAGCATGCCGCGGACCAAATCCTGAATCCAGAGTCTCGCCCTCCACAGGGAAACATGTGCCCGAGTTGCAACAAAGTCTGTCAATCCTGGATCGGCCTCATCAGTCATCTTCGGACCCACAGATAAAGCAATCATATGTGGCGGTCTCACACGCTTGAGCCCCTGCCGCGTCTTGGGCCGAGAATACTTAATTCCGATTGGTGGAGCCCAAACACCAATCGGGGAAAAGTTGGGAGGAGCTGGCGCTGCCCCTTCCCCAAAGGTAGGGGGTGAGGAGAGCCCGGACAAGGGGCGGCAAGTAGAGAGGAGCTCCAGAGAGACCACCATCGGGACCCTGCCTGAGCCTCAACGGTGCGCAGATCAGCACACGGCGCCCAGGCTCTGGGTGCCGCTTGAGGTAGCTCGAGCCTGCGAACCCGGCAAGCGGCCAGGTGGGGCAGTGTGTGGATCGGCGCACAGGGGGCCGACCCTGGGAGCAGCTTGAGGCTGCTCGGGCCCCACATGGTGCACAAGTGCAAGGAGAGTCGACCCCAAGAGCAGCTCGTAGCTGCTCAAGTTAGCACCCACCCCGGCTTTAGGCCAGATAGCCGGAGCCCCACAGTGTGGTGCAGCATTGAACTAAAAGAGCCCCGGTGCCCAGAGCAGTTCCTGGGGAGGTGAAAGACCCCTGGCATGAGGACGGGGAACCGGTGCCAGTGAAGGCTCGGCTCCCATAGGAGCTCCCAGGGTGCCCAGTGCAGGCCACAGGGTCCAGAGGGAAGGGCCCCCAGCTCGAGGCTGATGGCTCCAGAAGGTCTGAGGTGATGCGGGGACCCAGAGGCCAGATTGACAGCCTGAGTGGAAGGACTGTGAGTTACTGGGAAACCAGGTCCCACAGGGGAGGTGTCCCCGGGTGAGGGACCCTAGGAGTGCGCAGGGGGGAAGGCCCCACAAACCCTCCACTCCCCAGGGTAGGAGGGGAGGAGACCCCAAATGCACACTGGGGAGGGTTCTGTGGACCCTTTGAGGGACCAAGTGGTTGGAACCCAGATAGGATGCGTCTAATATCTGGTACAGTTATGCTTCATAGTTGGTATCTATTGCTATTGTTGGTCTTATATTAATTCTGTATAATGGGCTCTGTAAGGATGTCTCTATTAGCTAACCCACTTGTGGTACAGACTTGCTGGATTGACTGTCCCAGGATCCACCCCTCTTCTGGGTCTGGGGCACAGGTACATACCTGAATGCCCTCCCTGGGACAGACTTTGTCTTGCTAACAGACTGTTATATGTATATTTGTATACCTGTACCTGTATCTATTTTAAATAGTTTTATATATATAAATGTTTGCAACTAAATACATTGTATATAGTTAAGAACTTTGGGCCTGGGGTAACTCTCGAGAGGAAAAAGGGATCCACCCTAAATTCTAGCATCCCTCTCGCAGCACCCCTTCCTGCCTACCCATCCCATCCGACTGAGGATAGGGCACACTCTTGGGTGTACCCACGTTACACATGGAAGACAATCATGCTCGACTGCAAGGGATTGCCAATGACACAAATAGACTACAAAGGCTTAGATTCTATTCAAAGTGGGATTCAAACCAAGAAATACGGGGCAATTAAGCTATTCTAACTGAAGTCCACTGAGAAGGAAAGTGTAATATTGCACTTGCAAAGTCTGTTACTACACCACATGTACACAGGACCCTTTCTTCAGTAGATTTGGAAGGGCTTTACTAAGGAACTCAGTACCAACCTCTCCATTTCACAGAGGGGAAAATGGAGACACAGAAAGAAATGATTTGCCCAAAGTTGTCAGGTAGGGCTAGTGGAAGAGCAAAGAACAGCATTGGGGTCTCTTAGTCCCTGGCCTGTACCCTGTCCCAAGTGTCCTAATGTGTCCACATGCTTGCTGTCACTTCAATTTGGTCATTACTAAAAAGGCAAGCTGGAATGTTTAAATGAGGTAAAAGGTTTGGGTTATTAAGTCACTACAGTTTCGAAAAGTTTTACCTGTGGTGCCCACCACCTTTGGAAACCTCAGCTTTTAAGTAGGTTTCTCAGGTACGGCTTTGTTTCTGAACATTAGCTTCCACAGTCACAAAGCTGAGTGAAAAGAACAGATCCCCTTTTTTTTTTAGAAAAGCTATTTTAGCTGATAAAAATGAAACAACACTGAGGAGTTAGCAGAGCGTATCCACTTGGAAACAAAACACACCTTCAAAACCAGGCAATCTCTCAGAGCATACACACACAGGCACACATGCATGCAAACCCTCCCCATAAAAACCCTTGATCAAGTAAATTAGGTGCAACATATTTCACAAGAAAATAAAGACTCAAAAGTGGTGTTTGAACAGAATAACTCCCAGCTTTAAAATGTTGTGTGGGAGTGGTCTGACATAACAAAAAACAGTAAAATGGATTGAAAGCAGTATAAGAAATGACCAAAGGAGACATCCCTGGACACAGAAAAGAAATCCAGAAGACAGGAAATTTTCTTATATCGTAACAAACCACTGCAGCTTGAATGAGGCACAGAGGTTAACCACATTTTAATTCTCTCTTGTTCACAGAAATTGCAGTTTCATAGTCTTGAGAGACAATTCTTAGGAGAAGGGGTAGGGGGAGAGTGGGAAATGAATAACTTTTTCTTCAATTACTATCCCTTCCCCTTATTATTTTGTGGCTTTTTAATGAAACCCAGGTAGCTCTTCTTGAACAATCACTGAGACCAAATTACTGTGCTAAATCCAAATACAGCATTCTAAGACTCTGGTTTTTTTTAAAAAAGTAAACCCAAATCACAATGAATCTAACCTTCTCTTGTACAAAATCCAAAATGTTCTTGAAGTCCAGGTCATCATAATAGTGTCTAATTCCCTCTTGGATGTTGGAATGGAAGACAGTATTCATCTGGGAAAATAAGGAAGAGAAACTGTTACACTGTGAGAATATGCTTGAAAAAAGACAGCAAGATAAAAAAAGAGATGTATTAAGTTATACCGATGATTTTTATTACAGCAAATGACCTCTGTCTTATTGTATCACTGCCTAAGAGTTTGACCTTATATATTCTGCAGCATTGTCACTTGGCAATTTTATTTGGAGTCTCAATATATGGTGTGTATCTCAATGTGCCAACTACCAAGGACTGGAGATTACTTGAAACTCTCATCTATCACTTAAGAAGATTAAGGCTTCTCATCATTGTTGGGAAGAAAAGGTTGAAAACAAAGTCAAAGCCTCAAAAACTAGAAGGCAAATGAGAATTCGCTTCTCGGCACACTGACTCCCACTCTTAGTCCACCCCTACATCTGCACAGGCAAGGGTGCCTAGGTTGATAGCTACGCTGGCCCTGGGGTGTTTTACCCAACAGGACATTCCAACCCTTTTATAACCCCAAGCCACGTCTGCTCTAGAAGACAGTGTTCTTGCTCTTATGTTGGTCTCTTAATCCTGATCTTTCAAACAAGCTGAACTTTACAAGGCAGCAGCTCACTTCAGTAACTTGAGCAGATATCATTTTGAATTCACTCACAATACATGCTATTAACTCAGATGCTAGAAGGTTATGACACAGTCCTCTAGCACAGACATCTAGATGGGCCACAAAACTTGCATGTCCCTCTCTAATCAGTGTTTCTTAAATACTGCATACTCATTCTGTTTTGCAGGGTTACAGAAGAGGAGAAGACTTTCAACCCTCCCTAAGGCAATGGGACTTTTAGGGTGCCTATACAAGAGCAGGAAGGCTGCTCCGATGTGATGTAATTCCAATTACCATGTTCCAGTGGCCTCCTGCATCTCATTCAGTGAGCTTTAGATAAAGTGGCCCTGCCATCATTTTAAAGTGCAGGGATGCTGATACATGAGATGCTCCATGGCACGCTACCTCGCCCCCACCCCGGAGAACATTTATGAATACCCTTGAGCCCCATTCTCCAAAAATGAATTTTGGCAATCTTATCCTGGGGCTGGCATTTCAATGCACCTGAATAAACCAAGGTCCAAATTCCACTGACTCTCAATGGCCTTGGGGCATGTGCTCTTTTCCTTTTTCCTTTACTCTTTTTTTTTCCTTCAAAAGGTATGAAACTACCAGAATTTGCTGTGAGGAATGGGATTTCTGAGACCTGTAGAAGTGCTCAACTCCAGGCAGCATCACCTGGTTCTTCAAAAAAGCCACAAAGCCTTCATTTTCTATATAAGATTCTAGTAAATCAAAGAACTCTTTATCCACCTGCCTCATATTCTATTAGCAAGATGCATGTAGGTATTGATTGAGGAAGCCAAAAGCATTGTAGCTGGTGTCAGTCAAGAAACCCATCCACAGAACAGACTATTTTAGCATTCGCTAAAATACAGTGGGATTTCAGCCCTTTGTACAGCCAGGGGACCTGAGAATTGTCCTTTTGCTTATGCTTAGTTGTACCAGATCAGATTCCCCCAACCCTGAAAGCCCCTTTCTCATCTTAGATTGATTTTATTGTTCACTTTTCCCATTTGTGTTTCAAAGTGATGCTGCCGATAGGAGTTTGTATTGTAGTGTACTGGAACCTTAAGGACTTTCTTTAAATCAAGCAGTAAGGACCTGTATGGTACGACGCGTAGGGTGAGAGGTAGCATCCCACTTCTGAGAAAGAAACAGTTATCAGGTAACTGCTTCTGAGTGCTGTAAGTGAATTGGTTCAACTGCTCACAGAGCTTCTCTTCGGAAACATATGCCCGAGAAGAGGTTCTGTTTATTAGGGATGGTGGTTTTTTGGGGGCTCCATACACCCAGCAGACAGGTGGCCATCTGCACTGCAGATCCCAGATTATCTACTCAGAACAAACAGCCCAGAATCTAATTATTTCTATGCCCTTATTTTTCAAACTAAATGGATTCCTGGAATGTGAACAGGGCTGGGTTTGTGGCAGAGACCTCCAAATTTTCTTCCTATGCTTCGTGTTAGCAAAAAATCTTTAGTGGGCAGAGTGTAACAGACAAAAAGCTCCTCTCTTCCTACATCTTTTTGGTATTAGGCATGTGATTCTATACTCAGTTAGACGAGCAGTAGTCTCCCATCAGGATCAGACCTGTTCAGTAATGCCCCGCAGTCTCCAGGGATGCATCCTCCCTGAACTGCAGCTTTTCATGGGACGTAAAACTCAAGTACTCAACTGGCTGGAACTGGCATCTCTACCCCCCTGCCTGCCCTTTGCTTTGTCTGCCAAGGCTGCCAGGCCTGGATGGACCAAAGACCCCATACAAGAGACCCAGTGGCAAAGGAGAGGAGGAAGCCCTGATAACGACTAACAACGTGGTGTGACAGCTGTTTCACAGATACACAGAGGGTGGCACCTTCTAGGGCTAGCAACCTGGCACTTTGACATGACTGAATTGGGGAACGGAGTGAAAGGGATGCAAACAAACAAGCAAAGGGGCTAAAGAATAGAGAAGAGTGAGGAAGCCTTCCCAGGGAATAAAACAATTTACTAAAAAGTCCTGAAAGCAAAGAGTTGTGAGTTTGCAAGAGTTCATAAGAGAAAGGTATGTGAGAGAGAGCCAGTCTCCCTTCTAACTCACAGCACAGTCTGAGGAGATTACAGACTTGTTTAAAAAATGTTTTAGATTTTTTTTTCCAGGTAGGACATGATAATATTATGTAACATCCCAACACCTCACCAGCAAATAATGTTAACAAAAAAGACTGCATCTAATATAATCTCCTCTGGTAGTCAGCAGAGCTGAATCAGAACTTAAGATATCTTGGAAAGTTTGTACCCACTCATCCTGCAGGATTTTTTCCCCAACAACATATCTCTCGGAGCAGCAAAGCTATAGCCCTTCCAGAGGAGGGTCAGAAAAGGAAGAGCAGCTGAAAAAAAGCTAATTTCTGGTTAATTTTTGGTCTCTGCCAAAATTTTTCATGTGAGCTTGCCATTCTTGAACAGCACACATGGAAGAGGAGACTGAACTCTCCTAGCTGTCCTGGGGAAAGTCCCCTCCTGGTCCACCTGCACCATTTGCCTGAGGAAAGATGCTAAGAGTCCTGCTTTCCTGCTTTCCAAATGGAATTGACCTTTAAAATAAACACACAATTGATTTAAGGTGGCTTTCTGGAGCAGAAGTCTGAGTTCCTCAACAAAAAGCAAAAGCTTCTCCAAATGGCAATACCTCTCCCCAGAACCCAGCCTTCCCTTTGGTAGAAGCAAACTGCTTAACTCCAGAGAGCTGGCCCAGTTCCTCCACCCTCAATGAGGTGCATTCAGCTGTGGTTTCTTCCCTAAGCATGTTAACTCTTTCTCTGTCAGCCAATACACAAGATCCCTTATGCCCTCTCGCAGGGGGAAGACCACCAGGTACCACCAAGACCACCTAGCCCCACTGCCAAAACTAAGTTTAACTGTAGGTCTTTTGTATTCCACTTCTATTGTAGACTGGGGCACTGAAATGATTTACCTGCCTAGTCTCTCTTCATTAAAACAGAAGTGGCTAAGTCCTGTGGGTGAAGCCCACATGGAAAAAAAAGGTCGACAGTTCTTTAGGTTTTCCCTCATACATTTAGTATTAAGGGGTACATGTACATGCCACGATATTTGCCCTTTCAGGCACTGCAGTCTGTTTGCATGAGTGGGATTTCCTGACATTTTAAAAGTCTTTTTGGTGCATTAAAGTAAAACTGCTTGGGCATATAATTTATGACTGGGTATTAGGGGTGTGCAAAGCGGGCCCTGTTAGATTCAGATTTGGCCTGAATCGGGGACAGTGATTCGATTCGTTGATTCATATTACTGTCTCTGATTTGATTTGGCCAAATCTGAAGCTGAAGATTCGATGCTGATTTGGAGAATCAGAGATTCAGCCATAGACATGGCTTTAAATGTTTTTTCTACATACCTCGAGGTACCAGGCGCGGCTCATGACCGCTGTGATGATGGGGCAGATGGAGCATCCCACAGAAGCGTGGCCCCCATTGCCCCATGTGCCAGAACTACTTTTGGTCTGCTTCTGGATCCGCCAGGGAGCACACTGGGGGGGCCCCCCCATCTTCCCCTGGCTCTGCGATAACCTGCGGGGGGTCCCAGGTACCCCCCAGACCCAGAAGGCACCAGTCACTGAGCCAGGGGGCGCATGGGGAGGCTCCACTGTGCACTCCCTGGTGGATCCAGAAGTGGATCAGAAGTGCTTTGAGGCCCCAATGCTTCTGTGGGACACTCTATTCACCCCACCATTGCAGCATTCACAAGCCGCCTGCTATCTTGAGGTATACAGAAAAAACATTTAAAGCTGTGTCTATGTCCAAATAGCTGAATATTTCTGAATCTCTCCAAATTGATTCGGAGAGCTCCGAATCAGAGAGATTAAAGGGTCTCATGATTCAATTTGGTTTTGCAGATTCGGCCATCAAAAAAGGCTGAATCTCCGCCGAATCGAATCAGGGACCGAAGCTTTGCACAGCCCTACATGTCACTAACCTCCCCACACACCCTCAGGCAGGCTGCATCTTTAGAGGTAGAAAAGAACTGTTACATCAGGGGAAGAAAAAAGATACGCCTGAGGTGAAAACTCATGAAAATGCTGAGCTTTGTCTGCAACCTGTACCTTCTCCCCAACCCCTTTTTTTCCCCTAGTCTCTGCCCCTGCTGCACCTAGCCATACTGCACAAATCCCACCGGCATCAGGCCTAGCATCTGGTAAAATACTGCCAGAACTACAAAGGGGATAGGAGGCCCCTTTGGAGCATTAGCGCTATGTTTCAATCTTTAACCAGCACTTTCAGTGATTTAATTGTGCCCAAAGCTATGTTAAGGGAGAAAGTAGTAGCCAATTGAGGACTCTTCCAGCAATTCCTAGAGCGGGTATCACTGAGGTTACTCTGACATGTTGGACACTTCAAATTAAGCAGTAATCAAATATAAAATGCAT